AAAAAACAAAACAAAAAACTACTACTACTAATAATAATATAAAGATAGGGAAAATATTACGTCTAATTTCGAGAACGAAAAAGTGTGTGCATTGGCACAAAGTTACATGCCAGGTATCACACATTTTAATCTCTGTGGACGAATTTATTATACTCAGATTTCTTTTACTTTTGTTCACCATACTAAAGAAGCAGCTGCAAAGTCGACCGTCCTCATCACTCTCGATAGCAAATGGACGCTTTTTCTTTTCTTAACGATTTTACATCACCATCAAATATCCGGAATGTGCAAATGTCCACATCAATGTCGGGCATGCGCAGGGAGATCAATTTTTTGCCGGCCGCGCGCCTGATTCCCGCGCAAAAATTTCAAAGCAAACATAAGAAACAATATATATGAAGAAAAAAAAATTGAAAACGTTAATAGAAATCTGTAGAAGGAAACACGTATGGATAAGGAAAAAATTAAGCCTTGTCAAACGCAGAGCTCACGGTATCCTGTTGATTTATCCATTTGTTATGAGCTTTATCGAAAAAACACAAAAGACAAATTTGGGAGGTTTGAGTGCGCTCGTATTTAATTTTAATAAAAGGCACAAAACCGACAAAGGAACTACGTAACAAACAGTAAAACTTCGAGACTCGTTACACTCTTAAATTTGCTATTCTTACTTCACATCGCATGGTCGCATGATAAGTACATGTACGAGTCAATATATTACAATAGAAGTACAAAACTACTGGAAAGCCGTTCATTTACCAATTTTCAACATTACGTATAAATTAAATAACTCCTACCATAAGGAATTAATATTTTGTTTACAATTTTTGACTTCATAATTAATTTGTGTATGCCCAAGTAAAATGATTCATATGGCCTGCGAGCTAGGGAGATTTAATGCCTATGCAAAAAAAAAGTCCCCTAATGCCGTTTTCATTCTTTTCCCGCTACCTACATCTAATAGTATAATTTCCATTTTCAATATAATTGTGTCATTCATTTATCCAATACAAGTTAGATGGATAAAGTTTCAATCAAAAACGTTGAAACACTTCCCGATTACCTATGATATAAGCTCCTTGCATTAAAATCATGGAAAATTATTTGATTGTTTTAATAACCGCGCGCAAAGCTAATAGCTGTGACAAAGTAGATTCTAGAGAATTTGATTCTTTCCTTCTTTTTCTGTTTTTCATATCTTATTGCATCCGTCTCAGGAGGCTTTGAGCGTATCAAATTGGCGCCTGCGCCACAGCATAATTAGTATAACCTCATACCCACGGTTTCCTCAGGATGTTTTTTCCTTCGAGACCCTATGAAAGAGGTTGTATCTACAAAAGTTCTAATTACTTTAATTTCAGACTTGGTTGGCGAGACGAATTTTTAAAAGCGGTATTCCCCAAAAACCTTAGTAAATATTATCAGCGAAAGACGAAACGAATTACTTCTTTATTTTTTGGCTCCACAAAATCAGCTGTAAATGATATCAAAATGAGCGTAAACGAGAAGTACCACTAATCACGTTTCACGCGCTATATTAAAGCTGCCATGTAAGATTCAATTTAAAAAATCTCTTCAAAATTAGTGAAAGCTGATGGAGACACTCTCAATAGGAAAAGCGTCTATAAATTGCTGCAAACATATTGTCATTGACTCTATCGCTTAGATCTAAGATTCCTTTGTAGAAGACACCGCATCTGTAAGAATCCTTTCAAATAGTTGCGTGACGACCCATGTCACACAAGACTTCATCTCATGGAGACTTGCCTGACGATCAATGTGACGTTGAGTTGAGGAAAACCCTGTGGTTCCTTTGACCAACGAAATCAAAACGGAGACAATATCTGTTATCGTTATTCATCCGTATTTTTTCTGAGTACGTAAAATCATTTAAGTTTCACTGGTCGGCATCTTGGGTCTCCATTACCTTCAGAAAACACCTCGCAAGATCTCTTATTTCGCTTTGATCCTGAAAGGCTTCCTTGAATGATGTAGAACCGGCAAACTCCAAAACCAGTGAAGAATCATCGTCGTTTACTCTTCCCTGAAGGCACAAATATAACACACTCTGCAGGTTGAAAGTCACAGAATGTCTCATCTTTGAACTGCAAGCTCACGTAACTTGGTTCTTGTTGGCCTCCGCCGCCTGACTAGTGGTTGTCTGACGCGATTCTTTGTAAGATGAACTAACTGGACCGGGGTGGCTGTAAAGAAGAAGTAAAATAACATCAAACCCTAAACATGATTGACGGACAAATCATAGGGAGCACACCCAAAAGTGAAACTGAGAGAAGCAGGAAAGCAAGACATTTTTATTGAACTCTTTAACCCTTTACACAGTAGCATAAGTTTGCATATTCTCTCTCTAATATTCCCTTTTTGTCACAACATCACAAGGGGGGGGGGGGGAATTTTTTTTTGCGGCTCCACCTCCAAATAGCATTTCACTTCCAATATCTGGTCATCAATTCTTCTTGCTAATTCCTGCTACAATTCTCTCTGAATTATTCACGAGAATTTGGTCTTTTATCTACAGGCCAGTGAAAGAAAGGACAGGGCGTGACGGCCAGTGAAAACAAAGTGTTATAGGTTGAAAAACTACTCACCAGGGAGGTCAAAGGAAACTGCGCACTCTTCCACTCTCTCCTCTTCAGTTCCCTCCAAGTCGTCATCTGTTTGACAGTCATCACTAGTCATGTCTTCTCCACTGTCTGCCCCCTTCCGGGGCTCCAAGCTTGTCAGTTTGGCTGTCAAAACAGCTCTAAAAGAAAAACAAAATTATATACGATACTGAAAAATTAAACTTTGTCCACAACTGAGAATTCCACCAGTACCAGAATTTGCCAAAACTTGACTATCAGTACCTTGAACATCCCTCCCCCCCAATAACAGTTTATGTTTAAGAATAAATGTGTGATTTCCCCGTTCGATATGGCACCCCACGGCACTCCACTGAGTTTGCATTCGCACTACTTGTTTTAAGTCTGAGGTAAGAATACCGTGGAGGGAAGCTACATGTTGATCACGGATGAAAGTAAAAGGATATCCCGATTGCCGATCACGTAGCAAATGATCTTCAAGTACATGTAGCAGAATGTTTGATAAGCTCCCATCATTAATACTCTTGAGTAGGAAGCGGTACTGTGATCAGACTGTCTTAATGATAATGATAATGATGAAGGGTTTCTATGGCGCCATATCCTAAAGCTCATGGCGCTTTACCGCAGTTTGCGGGGGACTTTGGCCACACTGCATTGAGCAGTTTACAACTGATGCCCCCAATATCAGAATCAACGCCAGACAGAGAAGATGCAGAAGACGGGGCCCACGGTTTTTCGTCCTTATCCGAGAAGACTAGAATGTCTCACAGTTTTCAGATATCGTAGCAAAGGCAGCACATTCTCCTCAGTTATTTTAAGACCCAGAGTGCTGGTCCGGCCTAGGGCTAGACCCTCGACCTTTCGCATGGCAGTCCGATGCTCTATAACATGAGCTGACGTGGCGGCACAAAATAATCACACCGCCAGGGCTTGAACTTGGGTCACAGATTCCGGAGTCCAGCGCGCTAACAGTCAGGTTATTACGTCTCACACGTTTCTGCGTACAGTTATGCGATAAAACTCTCACCTCTGTTCTCGAAAATCAGATAGTTGCCGCGTGAGAAGTCGCTTTTCTTCTTCTTCTTCTTCGCCTTCAAGACCGTTCTTTACCAAACCATCATCCTGTGATCAAAGAAAGCGTATTAAAGGGCGTAAAAAGTTAACAAATGTTCGTTTTGGTAGAGTCGAAGCGAACTGTGTGACATGCTGACGTCCTATGCCGATCTCGCAACAAGCACACTATTACAAAAGACACTGTCACATGAAAGTCAGGGTGACCAAACAAGCACAGTCACACAACAGTAAAACCAACGCACTTGGCACAATTATACTACAGTTAAGGTAACGTTAGAGCCAGGTCACACAGGTCACACAACCCTCATACATATGTAAACGATACAGTCACACAACAGTCAACATAACATTAAAGGTGCAGTCACAGTACCACAACATTCATTGCCACAAATAATTTGGAAGCACGTCCTCATTTAAACCGCTTCGGAACGTGCGTCTTGTTCACCCGCGGGAAAGTTCCAGGCCTTGGACAAAGTGAGCCGGCGAGAAGTCTGCCAGGGTGTCCTACTGATCACTGTTAGTGACAGATCCCCGTCAAACCTCCCCAGATCCCCGTTAAACCCCCCCAGATCCCCGTTAAACCTATCCCCAAATCCCCGTCAAACTTCTCTCATTTAAAATTTCCCCGCGGGCGCAGAAACGCATTTCCTGCAGCATTTTTAATGAGGGCCTACTCGCAGGCTAGGTCACAAAGCGAAACTGTAACACAAAGTTGTCACAACAACATAAACGGCATACATGTAGTCAAACTATAACAAAAAAAAAAAAAAACGGCATGTAAATAGAAAAAGGAAGATGGCAAGGTTTGAACTCAGTAAAGAATAAAAGATGTTTTTCGTCTTGTCAAGAGCGTGGGACTAAGAAAAATTCTGAGTTAAAATGAGGGCTGTTGAAAAGACGAAAAACATCTTTCTCTAATAATGGTATGGTCACACAACAATTTACCGCAACATTATTGTCGCGACCCTAAAATGCGGTTTTCCTAACAGAAAAGTAACAACACATTACCTCTCCTTCGTTGACGTTCAACAAGGACAAGCGTCTGTGAGCAGATTCTGACGCAATATCAATTTCTCGGATGTTGTTGATGGTCGCTCGGATCTTGGATAACTGACCAAGAATAAGGGTTTCAAGACATCTAACAAATTAGAAAGCAAATGTTATAATTGAGAAGATCACAAAACATACTCATAATGATAAATCGTTGCAAGTGGAACTGTTTCAAAACCTCTTTAGAGGCTAAGTTCTTTTTCGGGTTCGCTTTTCTGCAACTGGTTCGATTGCGAGTAATCTGCGTCTGTTTACCTCACCAGAACGTGCAGACTTACTTGGTCTGTTTACTGACGTCTTGCATGCTTTCCAACGCGCTCATTCCGGGGGGTGTGGCCATGATACACTGTGCCCAAATTATTGACAGAGCATTTGCATTCATAAGGTTCACCTCCTGTTGTTGTGTTATTCTACGAGACAAAAAAGGAGAAAATCAATTCGGTAAATTTACTTTCCTAGCCACAAGTTTGGTGAAATCGTGCGAATAGTTCACGTTGGTGTTAGTTTTGCCTACTCTTCAAAAACATACTTAACCTAAAGAAACTTCATTTCACCGCAACTCCTCAGGCACTGTTTTTTTTTTTTTTTTAATCAAATTGGCTGAAGCTGAGTCAGTGCTCCACTTCAAATTGGTATTCACAAATAGTTTAACGATCTTACCTGGCATTGACCTCGGGCCGATATTCTCCCAGTACGGCCCTCGCGCTCGGTTAATAAGATATATATCTTACCTGGCAAGATGAAAAACAAGTCTCTCCAAAGTGTTTTGACACGCTCGAGGTAACTTTTGTACCAGATTGTAAAGAGCTTGTAAACGTAACTTTTCATCGGATAGTTCTGCAACAAAACAATGCAAAGTAGTGAGACCAATTTGTTTGTGCACCTCTCTTTGACCGCAGTAGGTGGCGAGTTTGAATCACAGCTGCAGCAAAAAGCTAGCCAAATCGAGCTGATTGTCGATCAAAATTTGGCCACAAAAGTAACACACCACGAGACAACCGTGAAGAAGACATAAGTTGATAACGAAGGATAACATGGCTGAACTGACCTGCAGTACGTATAAAATCCATGTAAAAATCTGCAGCAATAACGGGTACAGCCAGCTGCCGGAAGAATAGCTTCAAAACGCCAGCTACTACATGTACAGTGTACTCGTCTAATGATACATTTTCAATTCCTGCGAAGAAATGCCGTCAAAATAAGCGGTATAACACTGTAAGTATGTAGGAGAGTCTTACAAGTGTGGTGGATCATCACTGCTCAAGTTAAATAAGATTTCCTTAGGTTAAGGTCGCGATAAGGAGTATTTCTTCTCCTCGTGGACGGGAAGCTAAACAATCTCAGCCAACCATTTACTCTCATGTAGGGCTAACGCTCGAAATGTCAGCATTAGAAACTCTCTACGGTGGCTAACTTAACTCCTTAACCTACTTGATGAAACCAAATTATCTTTTAATTCCCCTACCATCGCAGCACTACAGTATCTCTTGAAACTTTAGTACCCCCTTAACCCCTGAATGGTTCGTGTTGCTTACTAAAGGGCGGTGCGACGAACCAGGAACACAACATAACGCAATGACCCGGCCAGGGCTCAAATGCGGGCTCAAGTTCCGGAATCCAATGCGCATGCCTTAAAACCAACCAAAACGCCTCATGGAGAGACGAGACCATCTATTTTGCCGCTCTTTCACCCCCTGTGAAGTGGTTGAGCATACTGTTTGCGTCGCAGTTTCTAAGTAACGTGACGTGGTATTATCGTCGCTCAAATCAGAGCTGCGTAGTTACGTAGAAACGCTGGCAACATTAGAATAAAAACATCTAGAATATGTAAAAGTCAGAGAAATCTCCACTCACCCACAGTACAAATTTCGTTCTTAAGCTTTTTTACTGCAACATTGCTCGGTGATTTTCTATAGAGACCCTCACTGTATAAACCTTCGTATTCAGGAAAAAGGAATAGAAAATGAAAAATAAATAACATGGAGAAGAAATGAATGAGCACTTACAGAAACAAAACTGGATTTGTCTTGATTGCAGTCACACAGAGCTCTTCATCACTAACATCACTGCGTCACTTTCTCTCATTTCAAGAATTAGTTAAAGTACCCAATGAACGATTCGATGACACGACTGACAATTTAACCATTCTGTGATAAAGACCAACTTTGCCTTCGTCGGCCCTTGCACTGCAGCGACAGTTACTCATTCATTATTTCTTCATTTCTTTTAATCACTTCAAAGAATCGTTGGCAGGTGACCACAATAACCACGTTACTTACCTCTCGCTTCAATATCTTGGATGAGTTTGTCCACTAATGGTGGTACAGAATTTTCATTCGATACAAGGTCCGATAGGTCACCACCGAACAGTTCCGTCTGAAAAGAATCAATGAGCTCATATTGAATAAAACACAGGAAAGACCAGGGATAAATGTATAATACGACGTGCAATTCTGTACTTCTAAATCGCACAAAAACTCCGCCAAAGTACAAAGGTGATCTCGGTATTAGAGCACCTTACCTTTCCTTTAGACCTGTTCGTTCCCTTTCTGCAAATGTTTTGAGACTTGGTATGACACTTCTTGTGGCAAGTGAATCTGCACTCTGCGAGAGACAAGGCAAATAGAGTTAGGAAGGTCGACTGACACACTTTAAATGAAATCCAATATTTCTACCATACTGCTTCATTGAGACTGACAAATTGCATAGAATGTGTACCCAGTGACCTACATCATTTGGGTAGTTTTCTTCTTGTACAACACATGATAAAAGGCCCACTGGATTCCCTTCTTTAAAGACCACCATGTTCATTTGTATTTGCATGTGTTCTCAATCAACACAGAGGTACTGAATACATGAACACTTAGCAAGTCATGTTCGAATTTTTCTTTTTGGACGTTTTTGCTTATCAAAAATGTTCAAAAAAGCTGACTTGTCGATTGCCAGTTTCAAATTACATAGCTGCAAAAACAGAATATTGGGCAGAGCTTTTAGCTACAATTCTGAAACAATAATCAAAATTAAGAAAAAAAGTGGGTACGGAACCTTGGCAGACGAATGCTTTGTCCAATCCCCATATAAACCCTCCGCACTGCTCACAAAATGTCGGTATACTGAATTGAGTGGTAGAGAATCTATGACCGTTGAACAACTGCAGTAAAAAAGACACTTATCAAAACATGAGGAACAAAAACTGTCTGAAAACAATAATAACCGAGCTTAACTCTGCGCTTCCAAAATCTTAGAGTAAAGATTTAAAACTACGCTTGATGTACGACTCCGCAATCCACTACTGGACCACCTTCTCAGCCTTGTGGTGGGCTGGTCGCTCGGTGAGGCAAACGCCATTACATGTACAGAATTATGTGCTACATAGCACGGTGAAACGAAGAGATCGAAGAGAGTTTATTTTACTTCTTTTCGAGTGTTGCCGATGAAAGCTTTACCGAAAACTTCTTATTGGCCGGTTTAAAATATGTACATAACTTACTGACAGGTCAATTTTAATTTTATTGCGCATCGGTAGATCGTGGAAACAATGTATGTACTAAGTTGAGTCTTTAATTTTATGGTTTGTATGAGATAAACAAAGAGTATTGAAGATCGATATCAAATAATCATAATGACAATATTAAAATATAACGAGTAAAATTGGCTGGGAGAAATGATAATTTACTGTAAAATTTCTCATTTCACGACGAGTCTTTACCACTGCAAGAAGGGTGAAATATCGCTCCATCCTTGATATATCCACATTTCTGTTCCCTTCCCCATACAATAGATCAACGAAAAGACAACACCATCAACAGAAAAATTCTAACGAAGAACGCCTGGCACAATTTTCGAGCCTTATTATCAAGATTGTTGCCAACCCGGACTTATAATTATTCGGTTTCCTTTTAAGTAAGAACATTTTAACGATCGAAGAAAAAGGAAGACTCCAAACATAATTAAATGTCTTGTTTACAATCCTCACCGTGAGCTCAGATGGTTTTCGCTTCTTCAAATGAGCTTTCTTTTGATGCTACGGAAGAGAAAAATTGGGAAAAAAATCAATATCAATGCTAAGTTGATCCGAACAGTGTAAACTCGCATAACATTTGCTCAGTCTCTGCAAGATAATAACTCTTGCCACCACATTAGTGGTCGTGGTGTGATAATCTAGAACTGCGAAACAAAACTTCTTTTTTTCGTATTTCTCTCAACTTCGTTGCAACTTCGTTGCATGTTCTTCGATGAGTAGTTTTTTTACCTTGTCCCTAGTGTGTTTGGCTTCCGATCGCGTTCTGTAAAAAAAGGAACAAACAAACAAACAAACAAAAAAAAACCCAATTGAGTGAGTAAGTGAGCATCAACCTTACAGAGTAAATATGGGCCACACTACAAGACGTTAGTAAAATCTGGCCTACATTCAAATTCGTTCAAATTGTTACATCAAAGAACTAGTTTGCATGTCATTCTATTTGTCTTGTTTTTTTTTTTTTTTGTTTGTTTCCATTTTTTGATAAGTCATAGTTTTTGTTGGTCACCCTTACAGGCCATTTGTTTCCTAACCTCATTCCCATTCCTTTTCTTTGTCAACTTTGTTTGCATTTCCTTTCCATCTAGGCATCATTTACATGCAATTCGTTTCTCAGCCTCGTTTAGAGGTCACAAGCTATTGAGCCTCGTTTGGATGTCACAAGCTATTAAGCGTCACTCCATGAAAATAGTATGAACGCCTTTTCTATATCTTCAAGCCACCGACTATTGATTATGACGAGTGCTACGATTGGCTATAGGATGCCTGATGAAACAGCCAATCACCTTAACGCGATGAACTCAGACAGCACCCCTCCGAAAGCATTCACACCCATAATGACAGGAAAATTGGCACTGATGCGTTCGCTTTTGATTGTCTTCTTCAGCGTGAATTCAAACTGACCCATCAAGTCTTCATAATTCAGAGTAAACGATTTGTCTTCCTGGAAGAAGAAAAAGTCAAACACGGTTGAAAAAATATTTCGGCAAAGCGACGTTTAACGTCTCTTATCCTGGATATCTAGGAAAAGCTTTTAACTAAAAATAAAAGTGGCTGAAAAGCTAAAAGATATTTGACGAAATATAAAAGATCACTATGCCATGGTTGATATACCTTCATGAGGACGGCGTACGATGAAATGAGTTGCATATGGAATTCTTGAAGAGCCTTTCTAAACACGCGGTCAACGATCGTGTCACGCTTATTTTCTTCTTTATTCAAACTTGACACCTAGTAAAATACCAAAGAAAATATATGATCTCCGTTAAAAAACATAATATACAGAAATCCGGTGAGTTGTACCTTTCTCTCTCTGTCGTCTGTCTGTCTGATTGTCTGTGAGTGTGCGAGTGTGCGGGTGTGCGTGTGTGTGTGTGTGCGTGTGCGTGTGTGTGTGTGTGTGTGAGTCTGGGTTTGTGTGTGTGTGTATATTATACTGTCATTTGCTCTACGTCTGTCTGTCTGTATGTATGTCTGCTACACCGGCTCAATGCCAGTCTGTCTATTTGCTGATGAAGAGATTGGTACCTTATTCATAAGGAAAGCCTCTAGTGCACCCAATTCTTCAGTGCCCTGGATGAGCTTCCTGCCGGTATTTTTCCACTGGACGGGTCCCTGAGGGTGAGCATAGCTGACTATCTTGGTTTGTTTCAAGGCCTTAGTCATATCTGCAATACAACGATAGCATAGAAAGTGAGTGTTTTATGCATAAGACTTTTTAAAATTACCAATGTATTGATATAGAATCAAGATACTTTCACTCCAATGATCTCAGCATTGAGTCTCCTTACCGTCTGTCATAAATTTCTTATAACGTTAGCTCTGAGAATTTAGTCTTCAATCATACAGGTTTCGCTTGTTGATGTTTTCCTTCACTCTTATCACCCTTCTACTTAACAACTCCTTGGAGTAAAAGAGTTAAGCGAACCAAAGAACCCAAGACCTGGCCAAAAATGTAAACGCCCTGTTTCTTGATTCAACAACAGAACCTAAAAGTAATATTCTGAACGACCGAGGTTATTTACACAACCACTGAATAAGATTCTATTTTAACCCACTGGATTGATTTCCGTTTCATCACAGGTAAAGATCAATTTAACTGGAAATCACTGTAAGCATCAACACTTCAAATACTTTATGTCCTGACCAATCGAACATCTCGAATAAATATAGAATAATTTAGATCTCAAAATGATAAACTCAAGACTCAAATAAGGCCATGATGCTCGCAGTTGAGCTGCAATTTAAGCAAATGCAGACGAGAAGCCTGAAAAACATTCAGGCTTTGCAAGGATTCAAACCCGTGCCACCCAGATACTAGTTGGGCGCCTTTACTGGCTGAGCTGCGAAGCCGCACGTTGAGAGGAGCACATTTCAGAGGGTTCTTCTTCCCCGTGGACGATTCTGATACAAATTGTAATGAAAATAAATTTCATTTGACCTGCGGAAAGATAACAAGTAAAGACTATCAACTCTAACCGTCACTTGATCCTATCCGCCCATCCAGCTCCACGGGTTTCTTTGCATTATTTCTGTTCAAACTGGAATCAGACTTTCTCCTGAATGAGTTCCTAGGCGCGATCTTGCGAAACAACCCTTTCTTGACCTTGCCACCATACTCAGTGCGACTGAGAGTGGCTGCAAAATCTGCCTTCTCAGTAGTTTTCCCAACAGCTAAATCATCCTGGAACAACGGGGGAGAGGTGGTTCTTCCTCGGTCATCCAGAACGTCCGAGGTGCTATACCGATGCCCGGGCTTCATTTTGGAGGAAAGGCGCTTTCGGAAACTACTGGTGAGTCTTCGTGAAAGTCTCGGGTTTGACTTGAAATCGTCGCCCCTTTCGTTTCCTTTGTTAAAGGTGAGTGTCGGTGACGGAATGGGACTTAGCTTGGAGGGTGCCACGCGTTTGGTGGGCGAAGGAGAAAGCTCCAGCGGCGGTGGACGACTCCGCGCGAATTCAGGGCTGTTTGGTTCCGAATTGGATCTCTGGCGGACAACCTGAGATAAATCGAAGAGACTATTAACATCATTATTGTCAGTCATAAGTATCCTTTTCTCAAAAAGAACAAAAAGGAAAAAAAAAAAAAAGAGCAGAGTCGCACTTTCTAGAAAACATCCGTGAAAGATTTCCGATTGAACACCAAATTCTCAGAACTAAATTGTACAAAATGTTCTCTCTACAGTTGGGAGAATATATAGTGGGAGCTAAGGAGTGAAAGTCAAAGACGCCCAAATTGTCTTGCATACCGGGCATTTTGATCCATTTGGTGGCGAGGTACCGCTGAATATCTTGGATATGTCCTTCACCCTAGAAAGAGAAATTGCGTTTAAGCTACGACAGTCACTTGCTGTGTGACGGTTTGTGTTTGGTTACATTTTAGCATAAATGGTCAAAGGTTACATTTACAATCCTTGTCAATGTTGTCATTCGTTTATCGTGTACTTAATCATATCCTTGAGATTCTTCTACCGCTTCAAAACTATTTTCCAACGCCTTACAAACAAAAAATAGTGTTTATGATATCGTAGTACTTCTCACTTAAAACCTCAGACCAGACAAAACTCAAACAAGTAAAAAGAAGTTGAAATTCCTTATTTCACTTATTTCTAGGACTCGTCGTAAGATCCCATACGACTGATCCAAAACTATCACAGCGTGGAATAAAGGGGTAATTTTTCTTAGGAAACCGCGGAGCTGCGTCGGTAGTAGGGTGGGGGTGGTTACTTTGGTGTTATTAACTAAGTTAATAATGAATGTTGGCCACCGTTAAGAGTTTTAAAATCGACGTTTCGAGCGTTAGCCCCTCGTCAAAGTGAAAGATAAAAGGTTATCGCTCGAAAAGTCAGCTTTAAAAACTCTTTGCGGCGAACAATTTACATTATCAACTTAGATGCAATGAATATATGAAGTTCATATATTTTGAACTGCGGTATTAGATACGTGTGATGTGCAATCCTCGCAGTAGATAGCGCTATTTAAGCAATAGCGAGAATCAGACCTGAAAAAAATCAGGCCTGTACGGGATTCGAACCACTGACCTCTGCGATACTAGTGCAGCGCTTTACCAATTGAGCTAACAAGCCAACTGGAAGCAGGCCGTTAAGTTGATTCGTAATAAACCCGTGAAAGTGATAAGTGAGATGCAATGAATATATGAAGTTCATATATTTTGAACTGCGGTATTAGATATGTGTGATGAGCGATCCTCGCAGTAGATAGCGCTATTTATGCAATAGCATAAATAGCGTTTAGCTCAATTGGTAGAGCGCTGCACTAGTATCGCAGAGGTCAGTGGTTCCAATCCCGTACAGGCCTGATTTTTTTCAGGTCTGATTTTCGCTATTGCTTAAATAGCGCTATCTACTGCGAGGATCGTGCATCATACGTATCTAATACCGCAGTTCAAAATATATGAACTTCATATATTTCATTGTATCTGATTTATCACTTTCACGGGTTTATTACGAATCAACTTAACGGCCTGCTCCCAGTTGGCTTGTTAGCTCAATTGGTAGAGCGCTGCACTAGTATCGCAGAGGTCAGTGGTTCAAATCCCGTACAGGCCTGATTTTTTTCAGGTCTGATTTTCGCTATTGCTTAAATAGCGCTATCTACTGCGAGGATCGTGCATCATACGTATCTAATACCGCAGCTCAAAATATACGAACTTCATATATTCATTCTATCTCATTTATCACTTTCACGGGTTTATAACGAACTGAATCAACTTAACGGCCTGCTCCCAGTTGGCTTGTTAGCCCAATTGGTAGAGCGCTGCACTAGTATCGCAGAGGTCAGTGGTTCGAGTCCCGTACAGGCCTGATTTTTTTCAGGTCTGATTCTCGCTATTGCACAAATAGCGCTATCTACTGCGAGGATCGCACATCACACCTATTATCAACTTAGTTGATAAAACCAAATTATCCTAACATAGCAAAGTAACAAAGTATTCTTACCTAGAGGGACTCCGTTGTCTAGGCGATCCTGGATTTTTTATTTCTTCGTAAATATGTGAAAGTTCTTGCACATCACTTCCTTCATCCTCCTCAACACTAAAATCATCCTCGGGAAAAAGTGCATTGTAGCCTTGAGGGTCACTAAGAGATCGATTAAATTGCCGAGGAGATCCCTGCAGACTGAGGACCAAACGGAAGAGTGATAAAGAGGTTAAGGTGAATTCTGGCACTCCAGCCAAGTGGCTGACACTGCTAGAGATTGTCCCGCTTTCTGAAACAGCAGTGATAAGGAGTTTTCCCGACTATCCCTGAAAGGGACGCAAAACTATTGCAGGTTTATATCCACTCCACCCCCAGACCAACACGCCCCCACGAAATTTTGCTCCTACCGTTGATTTGCTACATGGTTGGAAAGAGGCATTGTAAGAGTAACGTGTCTTGTCTAAGACCATGTAACAACGACCCTGGCGACCAGCGGTCAGCAAAGAGAAAAGTGAACGGAAGAAATTTTCCGACGAAAGCTACCGGTATGTTTGACAATAGTTACGTAATTAAGAAAAACTAAAGAGAAAATCTTACGGTGATAGAGGCTTCGTCTTGTGTTCTTCAAGTCTTTGTAAATGCCTATGAAGAGATACATAAAAACGTGAAAAAAATATAATAACAGAGATGTTAAGCGTAAAGTCTTCCATCAAAAACACTCAACTCTGCGCGAGGAACGACTTTGTTGAGAATTGGACTGCGTGACTGTCACGCTGTGGAAGTGAACTTTGCTCCCTTTGTTCTCGTTTCCCATTGATTGGCTGTATTCACGTGATGTAAGATTAGATTTTAAGAGAAAATAACCATGTGCGAGGCGACGTGTGATTGAGCGAGTTATTTGGTTTTGGGACATTAACAATAGTTTAAGTGAGTCGAATCTGTGAGTCATTTTTTTAACGTGAATATTATCGGGAGAATCTCTTGTGTTAGAAGCAATTGGAAGATTCCTGACACACTTCACAAAAGCGAAATCAATGTTTGTTTTTCCCCTTCAGTTTGGGTAATGTTGTCTTCAATCACGATGACGCTTTCGACAGAGCTAATCCTAGTAGTATGCCAGTCGCATGTCAAATATAAACCTGGTAACAGCCTAGCTCACCAAAGTGTCTCTAAATCTCAGCTCCAGAGTACCGAAGCGCGCAATTTAAAGGTTTACGGTTCGAACCTCATGAAAGCAGTTTTTATTTTTTTTGGTGCGTGTCGCTCAAGTAAAACATCTCAATCATTTTAATTCGAAGAACTTTAAGTTAATGTTTAATGTTAATAGTCAAGAGAAGATGAATTTATGTTATTTTTAGACTCAAGGAATGTAGCTTCTCGGGTATGACAAGTGTACCTCGCACCCTGCTTGAATTTTTTGACGCAGAACCAAGAGAAGCTACATGGAGTGAACCCGTGATGGAAGACAGAATTGATTATTTTTAGATCCTTTTAAGAACTCTCGAAATAACTGTGATCTTACAGCAAAGATGGATTGCCTCAGGAACTAGGCCTTAAAAAGAGCTTAAGTTTGTTGGCATGATTCTCTCGTGCAGCGATTTAACCTTCACGATTTAGTAAAGATAGGACCAGAGCTACGAAAGAAGCAAATAAAAAGGGGAAAAAAACCAAGCGGGAAGAGGTTCCTTATCAACCAGACTGTGATTACAATTATTAACTACTCAAACGTCATTAACTATCGTGACAAACCTTATTCTCGCCAAGTGTCCTCTTGCATGACTTTGAAGCAAAATAACTCTCTCACGAATACTGTGATACTCACGCCGCGCCAAGTACATTCGCCACAAGGACTGGATCCGAAGAGCAGCAAGAGACTGTTCCTCGAGGTCAGCACGAACTAAGTAACCTCGCCAGCAGGCCTGAAGTGAAATCAAAATTTTCAATAAATGTCTAAAATAGAGTGTTCCCAACGTTGCTTGAGTCTAATTTTACAAATACTATGGAAATTAAGAAAAAATCCTCGAGAAAATGTTTGGAAATCGTCCCTCAATGAGGAAAGATACTCTACATCAAACTCTTTTGATAGAGACAACCTTTGCCATAACTCCAGTGTGTCAAATAACCCTGTCTTACACTCACCGTTTTTTTTCATTGGGGCAGGGGAAGGGGGAAGTTTGATTCCCCTCGCGTTTTGAACTGAATATCCATAGATCCAGATTAAGTCCTCCATTCTCTGTCCTTACCTGTATCAGGACAGCAGCATTTCTTTGTCGAATAAACTGCTTTCTCTGTAGAGTACCTCTGATCCATCGTTGTAACACACAGATTTTGTGGATCTGCTCCAAGTGCAGCCGAGATTGCAACAAAGCATGCTGACTGTCTCGCAGAAATACCTGGGGAAAAGGAGGAAAAGAAGCCAAAAACATTTTTAAACTTGGTTCCCTGTGAGAGTCGTATGATACATTTTTTGGAGTTAATTAATTAGATAAAAGGAGAAAGAAAAATTGAACTAATCCAATTTATGAGCTTGATGATTGATTTATTCATATGTTGACTGGTTGAGTAGTGGCAGTTTCGTATGACTTAGCCTGCAAGTGACCTTCTTGAGCTTTAGCACAAGCATTTCTTCGCCTGAGGGAAAGAGCGAGACCTTTAGCAACGCGAGCCCGCGAGAGGTCTGCAAGAGACCTACAACTCATTATTAGTGCCAGACTCCCTGGCAAACCTCTCCCTGATTCGTCTCTAATTTTCCCGCTGGTGGAGAAACGCGCATCCCGCAGCCCTTATAATGAGGGTGTGCACACACGCTAAGTCCTATGGGACAACCAATACTTAACCAAGGAATGCTTTAAATAAGGGTGTGCTTACAGGCTGTCATATGGGACCAACAATACTCAACTAAGGAATGCTTTAAATGAGAGCGTGCTTACAGGCTAAGTCATATAGGACCACCATTACTAAACCAAAGAATTCTTTTCATGAAGGTGTGCTCACGCACTAAATCATATGGGATCAACAATACTCAACCGTGCTTACAGGCTAAGTCATACGGGACCACCAATATTAAACCAAGGAATGCACGAATCAATCGTCAAGCTAACTAGTTAGATTAATTTAATTTTTATTCTTACTTTTATCTGATTAACAGCCACTTACTTTTTCTTTGCCTATCTGGAACTCACGAGGATTCAGTTTCAATGATTCTAGAATACCCGGCATCTCTTCGCGTACATCTTTGATATCCTTCCGCGGAAACAGCAAGCTGTACCGTTTCACAAATTCCTAAAGGAAAAAAAATAGAGAAGAAACGTTTTGGGCTTGTGATTCAAATGAGATTTAACCGTTGTTTAGTGTAATGGCATTTCAAACATTGGTTGCCTACAACATCTGCTTTCGTTTGGCTCTGTTTAAAGACTCGGTCCTTTTCGTTTTTCCCTTTAACCCTAAGGATTACTAACGTCTTATTTCTCCTTACGATATCACTATTGAATTAAATGATTGAATTGAATTAAACAACGCGATCATAAGATGAAAGGAAATGATCTCTCACTAAAAAAAAGTTCTAGATAGTTCAAGATATTCTCCTTGTCAGTACTTCAAGAAATGCGGACAATGTGGAGGGAGGGTTACAAAGTTTCAGGGGCAATATAAGCTGGTAGAATTGAGGATATTACAAATCATGCTTGGGTCATTTTGAGTCATTAATTATCGTTCTTTCTCTCGGCGTAAGAAGAGCTAAGAACATCCAATATAGGTATGCTTGATCCTTGGGTTCCTCACGCGACGATAAAAATTCAAGTTCAGTGCGTTTAAATCTATTTCGTCCTCGACTACAAATGTTCCTGTTGGGGTTCATGAGAAGACACACGGGGCTTGCACTGTATCTCGGAGAGCTCCATACAATTCCTTATAATAAAATTATAATAAATTGAATAATTATAAGACATTACAATTTCTTATAATAAAATTATAAGAAATTGTATGAAGCTCTCCGGAATACTTACAGTACAAGCCCTGTGTTTCTTCTCATGGATATAACCCTTTTATCTATCTACCTCATTACACTGATTACCGTGAAGTTCAAGCTTAAATTTGTACGTCAAACAAGCGACTCAAAATCTTGTTACGACTAACGCCTGAAATAGGCCATTTCCGAATTACCTCTGGCCTCTTTTTCAAAGCGAGGCCTGGTACTCAACCATTCGTGTGAAAAAATAGCTTAATTTGCATGTGAATGAAAGGTTATTATCACGCGAAATGAAAACTTATGATCACCTGAAAGGATGAGCGCTAGAACTCTCTTTGAAAATGAGGCTAAAGGTAATAAGGAAATCGGCTATTCTGCACAATTAAGAGGAAAACATCAAACGTTCAGGGGTATGAAGGGGAAAATGACATCAGAAGATAAATGACAAATAAATTCTAACACGTTAATTACAGAAAGTGAAAAAACTGTCAAATTGAAGAACTAATTGTGGCTTCAATTGACCACTTTCAAAATGGCTGCCGGATTAATATTCTTTTGTTTAAATTTAAATTAGCCTTTCTGGCCCCGCTTGAGATAATGTATTCTTTTGAATTTTGTACTGGAGAACGAGCCCAGAAAGGCTAATTTAAATTTAAACAAAAGAATATTAATCCCGCAGCCATTTATGAAAGTGGTCTACAGTAATAGGTGGTTTGCACGTTGGTGGACATAACAACAGATATCTCATTCGCTTCTTTTGTTCGTCCACCAGCATTTGTTCCTTTCACCATTGTTAACGATGTCTCTAGAGATTGGTTGCAAACCACCAATTGGACCCGTGCATCTCTCCTACCAGACGGGTCATTATCAAGTCAACTAATATGACCTGTCTCGTTCAATCTTTTCGACTTTGATATAATATCATTTTACGAAGAGTGATAGCTTATTCCCCAAAATTTTCCATACGGCACACCTTTATTCAAGCTTTTTACACTGTTGTTGTCCTGTTGGTCTGGCAACTTAAAGTTTCTGTTGTTCAAAGTCTGTTAGAAATGAGGACCTGATCTAAACATTGTCAGGATTAACAATTGCGCAGACTTGAAGCTTATTAACCTTATGGTCGGATATCTTTTCTGTTTCCGTCAAGGCTCGATAATGGAAAATGAATATGAAAACCTCGACAGTAACACACACAAAAAAGAAACATTTTGCCTACAGGAAATAATTCATTGTCAGAATAAGATAAAGAGAAACTTGCAATAAAAAAGGTGGAACACTTAACACGACTAAGAGGCATTGAACATTGTCTAGGGCGACAAGCCACTTTAACTTTTTCGCGTTGATTTAGACAAATCCACGTCTCTCTCAACAACCTTAATTTCGTCTCAAAAGCATAGGCCATAATTACTTTTTACTTGTCAAGACTGAATACCAATTGAAAACCGGAAGGAAACCGGTTGAAAATAGTCTAGATTACTCAAAGACTTGCATCAAAATTTAAAGAAAAGAGAAAAATCACGCGACGTAGCTAACTCCAAGAAGCGATTCGAAAATCTTACAAACAAAAGTATCCCTTCTAAAACGCATTACATTAAATTCGTCAGTAAAATTCGTTTCATATATATTGATCATTTAGGATTTCCCCTAGATCTGTAGGAAACAAAATTGTTATTTTTCCCCTTAGCTTCAGACCCTGATCACAGTGTTTGATATTTTAGACCAAAAAAAAAATTAATGCTTTGACAATTTAACTTTTACCCGCCTTGTATAGAGCTACATGATTTAATCAAACAAACGTAAATTCAAATAAAAAGTGATACGGTACAGAAGTATCATTTACGTTTTTCACGGACTAAGGTCGATGACCGGTAAAAAAAAAATCATGAAACAACGTCATAACAAAGCCATCGATCACGTTCTATGATTTACGTTTGCGTGAAGTGAGCGCGTTGCAGTCGTGCCAACAAAAAAAAACTACTAAATATCATTTTTCCCTTGTTCAAATCAATTCTGATTGTTTTGGACGTCTCGAGCCCTAACCAAAACAAAATATACACCAATAACGACAGACACCATTCACAAATCGATGATTTCAGGTTAAATTAAACACTACAATTGCCGGAAGTACCACCGAGAATTCCTCGTATGAAATTGTTCGCAGTACGTGTGGTGAAATAACTACAATTTTGTATTTTTTATGCGCATCCAAGGCCTAGCTGACACGAACTGTAGACAAAAATGACGAGACTAACATCTATACATGTTACCAATTAATCCAGATTAAAACTCTATCAGGGTCGTTTGCGGCTTATATTAATAATTGCTTTAGAGAAGATAAGCGTTAGAAAGAATTTTGGTGTCTAAAATTTACGACTGAAATCTATTTTCGTCTCGTAGTCAAACAAAGACCGGATGAGTAAAAATTTTCCAAAGATAAAACCCTTGCTTCTGTTCTACAATATGGTCAAATATTACTATCATTTAATACGAAATACACTGTTCTGTATCGCACCTGTTGAAGGAAAATGCTATTGTAGTCGAGTGTTTCAAAATGAGACATGAAATTCTCGAGTTTCGGTCAGTAACAGTACGAATTACGGTGTAATTGTTACCTTGATTAAGTGAAACGCAGCGAGGGCCAGGAGTAGAAGAAGCTTTGAACCTCCAACGCCGACTTTCCGCGCCGAAGAAAACACACACTTCAAAACCATTGTTAAGCTGTACATTCAATCACGACATCAAAGCGAAAAAAAACAGTTTTCGCTTTCAGTAGAGCTCCAGTTTACTATATCGTCATGACTTGGCGATTTTTTCGCTTAAGCGAAGATGAAGGATGAGACGAACAAAATTTTCTCTGCCTAACTTCGAGCGCCGGCAAATGCCCGATGCCACTTAAATTCGCCTAGCGCGTTTTAGCGACAGATCAAGACGCTGTAATCAAGCCGAGAATTTTTGGTCGTCTTAAAATTTGTTTCTGATCCAAAATATCAAGTGACGCTTTTCCTATCACCCGCTGATCTCGAGCAAGAGATCAAGAGGGTTTGACCACGAGATATCCGGTTGAGTCATCAAGTCTGTAACGCAAAGTTCCTCGAGAAAATTCTCGCTACTTGCTGCTTGGAGCTTCCTCGTAAATCAGTAAGAGAATTCGGCATTTCTATCAAGATAAAAACCCTTTCAGCCGATACGTACGTGTGCTCTCATCACCTGCTACCGTGACAATGACTTGAGACCGTGACGAGCAGATGCATGTGATAAACCCCAAAGGGTGAAAGGTTGACTACATAATTTCTTCTATCAAATGCCTTGTAAAGAATATTTACAGAAGACAACTGCTACAGATTGTTAAAAACAAGAATGTGAATTTTAGTCAATGGTGGCCATATCCAAATCACCTTAAGCTTTTTGAGTACAATAATTTGCAAGACACTCCAAGATAAACATTGACACGCGTAGCAATCAAACAAGGCATTTGAGCGAATCCTCAAAAAGTAAAGATCACATTGGAAAATTAAACTATAAAATTTGAACCATTTCGCCATGTGGACCATTCGAAGAATCAAAAAATCTGCCAAAAACGTTCTGTCACCGACAAAATAGATTCACGCAAAAGTCCGAAATTTTTTAACCGACAACTGTTATGGTTCCTAGGTCGTTTGAGATATGACTGCGTAGAAAAAAAACTGATTTTAAAATTCCGATTCTTAGTTTAATTCGTCTGGCTTCATTTCTTACGCCTCAACTTTATTTCACCATCGTAAATCAAATGATCAGAGTTTGATTTTCCCTTTGGGCGATAGAGGAGAGTACAAAGTTCTACATTGAATTTCCGTTTACATCCTATTCATAGTCGGCGATTTTTCTGCTCAATCTTCAAAACTTTCCGTCTTGTCTGACAACAAAAAGGTTATGGTAACAATAACAATAACAATAACAATATCCACGACTGGGGGGTTACTAAGCCTGTCATACTTGGCGGTAATTCCTCCTTCTTTGCAGGTTTAACGACACGGGACAGGGATTTATCCGAGAACAACTCACGAAAGAACGAGTTATCGAGAATGACTGTAGGTTTAAAGCTAATGGTAGACTAATACCGCGTTTACTAATGTCTTAAGGAATATCTGTGAATGATTTAGATATTTTAGCGAGTACACATGAATATTCAAATTGACGAACAACAGTACATACTAGTTAGTCTCGGCTACAAGATTAACAACGCCAGGCAAACTATTCATACTATCACCTAGAAACCACTCACGTTACTCCTCAAAAAATAACTGCCTTGATACAAGTTGTCGCAAAAGAAAAGTTGTAAAAACACCGTAGAATTGATCAAACGCGTTTGGTGGCAACGCAGAAAAACCAGCAGACGAAACTAGATATATGGATCATGTTACGACTGACAACTGCAAGAACAACGACCCAAGGGGGTCAATTCCATTGAAACTATTCGTAAGCTGTAAGTAGATCTTAAGTGTTTTGCTACAGAGAGCACTGATGCAATAAAGATAGTGAATAATGCCACAACAGACTCTCCCTAAATAATGGGGTATTTTCTGGCTCAAGAGGTTCTTTGGAGTCTCTAATAAGATTTACCGAACACAAATGAGGATTATCCATGGCCTGGACCTGAAAATGGTTTGCGTCTAATTAACACTAATTAACATTTCATTTCCTCGCGCGACAAACAGACAAGTCTCCATGTTAAACTCTTCTTTGGAATGTCTCACGACGCCCCCCAACCCCCATGCCTCCCACCAACACCAAAAATAGATGGATGCGCAGGCCTGATGGATGCGCAAGCCTGATGGACGCGCAGGCCTGATGGATGCGCAGACCTGATGGATGCGCAGGCCTGATGGATGCGCGAGAGCGACTGCAAATAAGACAAATGCCAAACAGAATGAAACACAAAGCATGAAATCTGCAGATTGTGCCTGATATTTTGGTGTGTAACAGTCTCATTCGCAGCCTTTGCTTGCTTTGATTTCATTTATCTCTGAGAGACTGTGAACGTGATGCGAGACGAGACCAATCAGTCACAGCCAATGAAACTTTATCAGTGGAAACAGTGAAATGAAAAAGTTTCAATTATTAACTCAATCTACATTTGAAAATAAAGTGAGGAGCATTTCACCGATAATTCAGAAGTAAAAAGCTTCGAAAAAAAATTAAAAAGTCAAGTTTAAAAACGTAATTTAGTTCCTAGACCCTGACCTATGAAATACTCAAGACGTTTCTGTCTTTCAAAATCTTCCGCCAAATATTTCTATATCCTATTTAACCAAAGTCTGTTCGGGCAGTAATCAAGATTTACAAAATCCTGTGAAATACCATATGTGACGTATACTTAAAGTATATCGGAAGTCTCTGACCAGCTGAGCGTGAATCAATTTCAACAAATGTTGGCCTTCTCAAGGCCTTCACCTGACATGGGGGGGTTTGTAAGTAAAAACTCGTTGGGAAAAATGTTAAATTTAGGGGAAAAAAGTGGGGGAGGGGGAGGGGGAGGGGGCAAAAACTGAATTTACTCTCCTTAAAGCCTGGTTTCCATATAATCGTCCCTGTTGCAAGGATCGTCTCTGTCGCTTGAAAAGAGCTTCCCGTGGTGAAAAAAGATCATCGAAACGTGATGTAGTAGTAGTATTCTTAACAGGTTCGTTTCATCATTGGAATCACTCAAATGTAATCATAAAAACAATCTTGTACAGCTACGAATATTAAGGTGCGAACGTTTCAAACGCCCTTTTTCAACAGAGACCTACCAAACTGTTTATCGTATCTCCAAAACGCAATATGGTAGAACATGTGTGCTACTGTTGATCTCGAAAGTACGTAGCCAGGCGTGTTACACTTTCTTTTGAACATCTTTCTTTATGTAAATGATTAAGTTTCGTCAAGAGATTGCAAAATGATATCTTGGTTCCGTTAAAGACTCCTAATCTAGAAATCTAGGAAACGCTACCCATATAGATAAGGTTCTCAACGGAAGTTTAGGATCAATGTTTATATCTGAGCAACGCGCACCTATTCTCCTCTAACCCAACAGCAGTCGACTGATAACAGGTTAGGGTCAATGTTGGCTTAGGGGAGGGGTATGTGTGCAGTTGATCGGAAGTTTCATTTGCTGGTTGTTAAGAAACCGTTTAAGCAACATGCGACAAGAGAGCTTTTAAACCGGAAATTACGATTTCAGAGAGTTACCTCCACAAGTGTTGGTTAAACACCAAAACCAAACTGGAAATCTGTAGCTATAAGGCATAAATGACTAGAATTGACACGTTCTAACCAGTACCTTGAATCATGACTACTAGTCGAATCTATAACCACGAACAAGAATTTGATCCAAAATATCATCGGCTGCCGAAAAAACTGCGCAACGGACTTTGCCGAAAATAAGGAAGTGCTCGTAGTTTTGACGAAGAGCTAATCGTTACATTAGGTTAATGAGAAGGGAAATTCAGGAATAGCTGTATGAAGTATAAGCTACATTGCTAACCTCAAAAGTGAACCGCCACTGATAGCCAAGAGTCCTGATCCGCACAGTCTCCAGCATGCCAGTGTACCTCAGCTGACGAACCACCAGATCGCGATCGTATTTCATTGGAGCCTGGAAAAGATACAGGCAAAATGATTACAAAAAATAGTAATGATTCCTGAAAAGAAAATTTTCAGAGTCTCTCTTAGAAAGATCAGTTATGACTGCGTCTCGAATTCTAACGAAGCTTCTAATTTGAAAAACTAAACCTTTTCACTCAGCTGCCAAGATCTAACAAACGGTCATTCACTCATTTGTTGGCTGGTTGTCAGGATTTGAGGAAGTGAAACGATATTCCCAGTTCATAATTTTCTTAATTCCTAACATCTCACTGCTTGCTAATATATCAAAATTGTAAAGAGACCTTTCAAACCTACTAGGAAGAGAGTCTTAAGGGCTCGAGGGAATCTACGATTCAATGCTAGGAGATGTAAATAATAAACTTACTTTCTCTGCGTTGGATCTGATGCAGCGAACAAAGAAAGGCTGGGCCTCTTCCAGGAGCTCCACTAGACGACCAAGAGACGACTGAAAGAAAGGGAAAGAAAGGGAAAGAAAATAAGAAAATGCAAAGTTCATATACGTCATCTGACACGTCGTTGAAACGTGCCTGACATCATAAACCTGATGTATATCATATTTCCACTTGAACAAATACCGCCCGCACGGAAGCAGGTCACAAGAAATTAACAAACTTGCCTTCAAACAACTTGGTTTTCACAATTGGCTTGATAATGTGAATTGGCCACCAAAAGAGATTCGAAAGCTGATGTTTTGAGCGTTAGCCCTTCGAGAGAGAAAATCAACCGCAATACCACAGTTTCTTTCCAAAATTACCTCGTGCCCTCAAAACTATCTTTCTAGAACGAAATGTGTTGACCCAAAGTGACATTAACGTCGTCGGAAACGCTACACCACTCTCCCTCCTAATTTTTACCCTTCTCGGAGCTTTCAAATGAGATAGAAGAACTGCTTCCTTCAAAGGTTAACAAAAAGATGAACTTTCACATCCACCCATTCTCTTCACGTCTTTCAACAAAGTGATCTCATAACATCGATGTTCAACGCTTCAGTCTGCCCCCCCCCCCCCAAAAAAAAAGGAAAAAAAAAAAACTTCCACAAAATTGACCGCGCAAGAGAACAAACCTGGAACTGAGCGCTGACTGTGGGTGGGTTTTTGGGCGTTCCTTTCCCTCGCTGCATCGTTCTGAACAGGTAATCCAACGTTCGCACAGTCATGTCGCGTTTGGTTTCTAGACCTTGACGAATCTTTGAGAGCGGCTGAAAGAAAATCAGTTCACCACAAAGAAGTGAATTTTAAAATAATACGTAGAACCTACTTTTTCTGCGGTTTAAAAGGCAATACGAAAGCTGGTGAGGAAAGCCTTGAAGGAATTTTATAAAAAGAAAAAAAAAATTGTTCTCACCTTGGCCACCTGTTTGTTACTTTGCATCTTCCTGAAAACAATGAAAATAAAAATAAAAAACGCGAAGTTAGTGAAGTGCCATGACAGAGCGCATTTCGATTTAAGTGTCGTAAAAACCAAAATGAAAGCAATCACCACAGCCAATTTAAACGAAGGCATTCTACACAGAGAGCCAAGGAGAAGTCGAAGGAAGAACGAGCCAAATGCCTGAATTTCTGCATATCTCTGCTCGCAATTCATTAATTCAGTTTCCCATATCACGAAAATAAAAAATAAATAAATAAATAAATAAATAGTAAAAAACAAAAGAAATTGAACAAACCTGATCACCCTCGAAGCTTTTCGAAACAGATTCGCTGTTTCGTTGTTTGGATGTCCTTCATCAGAATTAAAGGCATGCAATCTGACAGACAACAAAAGTAATCAAGCACAACTCTTTGTGACAACAGTCACCCCTGTTACCTGTTCTGCCACATTTGAAAGATCCACATTTGAAAGATCTTACCTTGATCCCTTCATGTTCTGCAATAAAAAAGAAGAAATTCAAAATCTATCCATTGCAGTCCTAAGTGGTTAAGCTTACAATTACATGTTTCATTAAAAAGCATTCAAGAGAATAGATCCATGTACGGTAGATTTCTCAGTGTGGCAATGTATATGAAGCAATTTCAAGAAAATACAAATAACGTAGCTGTAAAACTAAAGCCTGAAAGAATTCGGGCTCGAACGGGTTTCGAACACATGAACGGTTTAAAATAACGATGCAGTGCTCCAATCAACTGTGCTGCATAATAATTGACACATTGATTATTTCAACCCCCAATTTCTTCAATTTTATCTCTTTAGTTCTCGCAAAGTTAACCTGTTCGCCCCCTTCACGAACTTTTAGCCAACAATGAATTGGAGAGGGGGCTGTATATGATTTATAGTGTTATAGTGATTTATAGTGTTTATAGTGTTATAGAAACAGGAATATTATTCTTCACATAAATAGAACTCTTCTGACATGATGTGTCAACTAGTTTTGATGCTGATTTTAGACATGAAGTGAGTTCACACAGGCCAGACAATAAATAAATTTAAGAGGATACACGAAAAAATTAATATCTTCACGCAGCAGAATTAAGATGTTCATCACAGAGCCACAACTTTAAGAATTCCATCATCACTAACGATGCATTATTTTTTAAGTTGAGTCACAACTTATTTTAATTAAGAGTCACTATGTTTAGACTTTTCTAATGGGCCTCTTTAGTTAAAAACTGGTTATAACTCAAGGAAGAATAACTTACAGGATCTTGCTCCCAATCTCTGTACACCTAACGGATTCAAACAACAGTTTCTTACTTCAACCGCGTGGTTAATGACGGATGCCGAACGGAAATGGTTACACAGCCATGTAAGAGAAGCGGACAGTACTTATGTTTTTCTTCTGTTTTTTTCTTTTTTTTTAACGAGATAGGGGTCACTAAATTTTAAGATTATGAGATATCTTATCATCAGTATCTTACAGAAATAGTAGTTGCCGAGGCTAGGAATGCGTTTGAATAACTTGAACTACTTGCAGACTAAGACATCACGTCTCGAGTATCACATTCGACGCACGTATAAACTATTAAAGTGGACTTTTATAGTTTCTATACGTGCGTCGAATGTGATGCTCGAGACGTGATGTCGTCTGATTCTGCAAGTAGTTCAAGTTATCATCAGTAATAACTTATCATAAATCAGGGTTACTAGTTTAGTAATAAATATCATGTAACTGTTTGACCCAGTTTACTACTTCAGTCAAGGAAGTTCATGCATCTCTGGTACGGCGCTTAAGTGCTTTGTCGGCCTCCACCTCCAAAGTTCACTTGGTATTTATGGGCCGCTTCACGAGGTCTAGCCTACTGGTTGTAAATCACGGTTGTACACAATCAGTGGGCCTTGCGCTTTCTCTATAAGAGGGTTGATTTAATTAAATCGATGTCCTTCTACTGCAAATTTTTGGCCCTCTTGACACTGATCGCAAAAATCAATATTCAGATAAAAGCGTCAGCTAAACTGAGAATTGTTTAGGACACGCTTTTGTTATACAACGGCTTAACTTTGTTTAAATAACCGGCCCTACCTGTTCATTTCTTCACTCGTTTCACAATTTATTTCAGTACTAATTCCTTAATATCTATTTGCGGTTAATCATTTATTCATTTTCCATTTCATCACTATAAATTTACTGTAAAAAAAGTGTTAAGAAATAACGATCCGGTTGGCTGTCGCACCATGAATAGTCTTATGACACAAATGAGATCTTATATTTTCTCAGTAAAATGAAGGTTACAGTGACTCGAACTCTTGCGGTAAATGAAATGATTTGCAATTCAAATACATGCAAAGATTTTGACCAGAAACGACCACTAGAATACCCACAGCAAAACCTCCAAGCCCGAGAGCGAGGAAGAGAAAAATAAAAGAAGAAAATTCAACACACAAAGACCAGGGTCCAGTTGTATAAAGGGCGGAGAACGCTGTCCAACGGATAAATCACTATCCAGCGGATGAGTGATAGAAAAACGTACTCCGCTATCTATTGGTTAAAAATATATCTACTGAAGAGCGTTATCCAACCTTCGAACAACCGGGGCCAAGCCTAAGAACTGAACACTGGCCATTCAGAGCCAAACTGTTCTACTAGCTTCACTCTTCTCTTTTCTCGGCTACACAGGTGATAAATGATTATATAAAAAAGAAAAAGGAAAAAAGAATTGTGTTCATTTAGTATTCTTACAGTTTTCCTCTTTCGTCCTCCAGGACTTTTAACCACACGATCATTTGCTTTTCCACCTTTCAATCCAAAATGAAAATTTCTTATTAGAAAATTATAGTAGACTGGGGGGGGAATATTATATTTTCTTAGTTGGACGAAAATCTGGCTTTGAAACATAACCAAATTCATGAGTGTTTATTTTCGTCGTTGCTGGTATCAAGCTCCAATGTAATAAAAAATTAAGTTATTTCAATCAAAGAGAGGTATTTTGGGGCAATGCATGTTTTTTTTTCCCCCTTTTCTTACTTGAGCGATACTCTCTGCCCGCCACTTTGAAAGCATGTACTGCTTTGAAAAAGGACCTGAGAATTGACCATCTGTACACTGCTAACGGATCGGCTCCTGAAAGGAGGAAAATTAAAACAAATGATGAAAAGAAAGTGGCGTAATCGCCAACCAGAGAGTATCGTTTTTCACTTGTCAAGCAATGTTTCCTGTAGAAGTGAAAAGGAAAGCGCAATAAACATTCTCACCGAGTAGTTCCCTCACATATCTTGAATCACTGTTCTTGAGAAGGCTTAAAATGTCCGGCCTCATGAGATCTCTGTTCTTGTCCAAAAATCCCTGCAAAACGCAGTACAAATTGGTTTCTTCTCATGTCTTTTTCGTGGCCCAAGTTTGAGATGTTCAGCCTCGCTTCTAGGCGTTCCGTTCGCAAAAAGAAGCACGACAGTAAACGACGCGGTAAAAGCAGATAAAGAAAATAAACGAGGGGGTTTGGGTGGGGTCGCGTAACGAACGCATAACGAACGCGTTTTTCCCCTGTTTACGTTCTGCCGCTTCTTATCGCGCCGTTTACCAATTCGCTCCGTTTTACTAACTGGACGTCTCAAACAGGCCATGGGAAGGGCAACACTTCCTAGGAACAGTTGCGAGGAAGACTATTTTTTTCTTTGATACGGTCAAAATGTGAACATAGTTAAAATGCATCCTTCAAAATTTGTTCCCTTCAATTTCTGTTGACGTATATTTCCTTAACAACTTGTACGAGCTCTATGAACTCCTTGACGCTACGTGGGTAAATTGATTGATTGATTGATTGATTGATTGATTGATTGACTTATTGACTAAATTATTTCTTGATTCTGTGATGAACTAACCTGGATATTATATTTCACATTTCCTGCATAATGCTTGATGACAAACGCCTGCTGTATAAGAGACTGTTCGTAATGCTTGTGGCCTGAATGATTCTTGTCCAGCTTGGCTAACAAAGAACTTTCTGTTGCACCAGGAAAGCTGAGGAGACAAAGAAGACATTGTGAATTGACTGACTCGATGATTGGCTGACTGATTAACTTAATGATTGTCTGATGGACAGACTGACTGACTAACTGACTGCCTGACTGACAAACTGATCGATAGAAGGTGAAGGATTGCCACACAGAGATAGACAGAAAGACACAAAGATAGACAGAAAGATCAGACAGAAAGATCAACTTTGTAATATTGGTTTGATCAACTGAGTTGAGGATGAAAATTGGCCACCGTAAAGAGTTTCAAATCCGATATTACGAGCGTTAGCCCTTCGTCCGAGCGAATGGAAAGATCAACTGACTGCCTAGAAAGATAGAAAGATCTGACAGATTGATCAATTATGTAACTTTGGTTTTATCTACTCAGTTGATAATGAAAATTCGCCACCGTAAAGACTTTCAAAGCTGACATTTCGAGCGTTAGCCCTTAGTCAGAGTGAATGAAAAGATCAAATGACTGACTAATTAACTCACTTAATGACTGACCAACCGACAAGCTCACGGAGTTACTCTCACCAAATGACTGATTGATTGATCATTTTTGTTGTTGAGAATGGATTAAAAAATAGACTGAATGATCAGCTGATTGACTGTCTGTTCAATCAACAAAGTCACTGACAACATTATGAATTATTATAACTGCAGCACACTTTAATGTAATCAGTTGACTTACCTGCTCTCCTCGTCGATCAAGTTTAACAGACCTGTTGGCCGACCACAAATCAAATCCAAACATGCCGCATTGTCAACAAACTCCACACTCCTCCACTCAATTCCTTCAGAAATATATTCATCCTAAAAAATAAATCCAAAAAGACAGGTCTTCATTCACACACGAACAAACACAAATGTAACTGAATCAGTGAGAGCGAAGATTACCCTTTGCCCTCCTGCTCACCTCATGTATGTCACAAGATTGAGATAGAAATGTTACATGTGCACTAAAAAAACCGACAATTCAATTTTCTGAAGGTCAAGAGTTTTCTGACATCTACGCGTAGCGAAAGTTTTCATGATTACTTTTTGAGGCTCGACTAAATCGCACTAAAAAAACAAGAGGCCATATTGCGGCCTTCATCTGGTCTTCATAAATGGGAATGGAGCGAAAGCGCTGTCGTTATGTAAGCGCGACGGAAACGCTAGGTACCTAGCGTTGCACGAACACTGCGCGAAAAATTTTCGGTTGTTGTTCGGTAAACTTCGAATGTGGGTTACATGATCGGTGTTATGTTGAAGTGGATTCGACCGTCAAGGAAAAGCATAAAATTGCGCGTTCTTTGCCACCTCACGACGCGTGACAGTGTTTACACTATTGTATTCAGCACCTGCGCAGAAACACCGGAAGTGCCTTTAGAAAGATAGACCACGACAGCAGGGCACTCTGAGACTTGGGCTTTTCCACAGGACGCTTAAGTAAAAAGGAAGTCAATATGTCCCTACCTGCTCTAGCCTGAACACATGTTTGTTGAAGTAAAATTGAAGCTTTTCATTGGCAAAATTGATACAGAATTGCTCAAAACTGTTATGCTGGAAATCTTCAAATCCAAAAATATCCAAAACTCCTATAGAGCATCCCTGAAATCAAACAAAACAGTAGTGATTACTATCTAATTTCTGAGTCAAGAAATGTGTAAAATACACAGCGTAAACATTTCAAGCATTGTTTTAAAAACTACAAGTCATCCACAGAGACTCCCACTAAGTTACAGAGTTAAACAATGTGGCCCTGTCCCAGCATATTATGCCAATAAAGGGGGGAAGTTTCTAAAAAACTGTGATAATGCACCAGTGAGAAGTATTACAATAGAATTTGGTTTTATCAACTGAGTTAATAATGTATATTGGCCACTGTAAAGTTATTCAAAAGATGATGTTTCAAGTGTTAGCCCTTTGTCAGGGAAAATAGAGGGATTGTAAGTAGTGTCTGGTTTGTTTATAGTTTAGTTTAGTTTATTGTGGTTTGCCAACATACAACACAAAAATATATAAAAAAAGGTACCACAAAGACAGGAGAAAAAAAAAACTGGGCACGCCCCAATTGGCATTTGTTCCCCTAACAAACTACAACAATAAAATCACAATATTCATAAACAATATTTAAAAACCAATAAAAGTCAGATTAGAAACTAGGGCAGAATGCACTTGTCCATTTTGTCTATATAGTGAAGTAGAAGAGAGTGTTTGAAGGTTTTGATAGTTTTGGCTTGTTTCAGTTCGGGAGAGAGATTGTTCCAAAGTTTAATTGATCTTGAGAAAAAAGACTGGTTGAGTAGTAATCGGGCGAAAGTCTGAAGGACGATAAGGACCAGTCATATAACGAGATGCAATGAGAAAAACGAGATGATTAAAGTTTACATCAATAAGACCAGATCGGATTTTAAAAAGTAAAATTAAGTAACGAGATTCCCTTCTGTATTCAAGTGGCAGAATTTTAAGTTTGATGAGGTTCTCAGAGTACGGGTAAGCGTCTCTATCAGGATAATTTATGATAAACCTGGTGGCTCGCCGTTGTATATTCTCTAGTAGCTTACGATGTTTAGCAGTGTAAGGAGACCATAAGGACAAGCTTTCTAGTAGTTTCGTCAATTATATCCCTTCCACACACTTGCTTAATGAGACCAAGGACTCTATTGGCTTTTGCACAGGTCTGCTCAATGTGTGTAGACCACGAGAGCGAGTCTGTGATGGCCACACCCAAATCTCTTGTAGTAGAAGGAGAATCTACTATTTCATCATTTAAACAATAATTATGCTGTTCTCGGCAGCGAGATCTTTTCTTGGACATATGTAGGACTTTCCATTCTTTAGTACTGAATGCCATGCCATTGCCGCCGCATCATCTTTTGGAACAATGAAAAATCAGCTTGAAGTAGTGTGGTGAAGTAGATGGAGCTTTGCAACTGGTGGACACATGGTTATGCAAAAAACACAAGAACACATTATATGAATGAAAAACCTATGCAAGCCTACCTCTACTACGTTCAATTGCTTGATAGCCAATGCATGGTTCACTTGCAACACAATCCAGTCAAACAGAGTGCCATACAGCGCTTTAGCCATTGCATCTCTTGTGGCTATGGCCTGAAAAAAATGAAGGTATACCTCAGTATTTTTTTTCCAATACAATTAACGAACAGGTTATACATAATTTATCTTTGCATTACTGAGTGCCCATTCTTAACTTTTTGTTATTTATAATCCAATTTCTTTTCTTCTTTGCCTCTTCATAATTCCTACACATGTCTTGGAAATAAAAATTTTCTCATAATTTAAAAACCTAAACAACAAGGTTCCAAAGCTTAAACTGCTAATGCAAAAAGCTCTGTGAAGCGATCAAAAGACATACGCTAGATACAATTTTTAGGTCAACTAAAAAATTGTTTATTACTGTAAGAGGCTTTAAAACTCACCTCTTCGTATTTATATGGTACAATAAACTGCTCATTTCTGGTTTTCGTTTTCTTTGTTGTTAAAACTTCAACAAGATTGTGCCGAGTAACCTGAGTAAGATAACAGAAAGACATAAACAAAGATATCTGCTTATCAATGTATTAACACAGCAGGTGAAACGCAACAACAGCACATCAAATCAAAATCAGTAATTAGAGTAAATACAGAGATATTTAACTAAACACAAACAAATTCCCAACACTTGACAAACAAAACACTACGGAAAGTCTAATCTAGAGCAATTCTTTGTATGCATGAAAGATAATTTACAAATTGAATTAACTCTACACAAAAAAAAATATATATCTACTGGGGTATATGTCAGAGTAGTTAAAAGATCTTGAAGCACCTTTACAGTGTATTGTACAGAAAAGAGCCTGCTCTTTGACATTCAAAACCAAAACTAAAGGCTGTTTCAAAATCTTTATAAATAGAAAATCAAAATATTACAAACTTACTCCAGGTATGAGTTGCATAATTTTGTTTAAATGTTGGACATGACATCATAAGTTGCTTAAAGGAGTCAAAGGTTATGACTGCTTTGATTAAAGTTCAAAATTGTTTTCATTAAATCATAGCAATCTGTATCACTCACCATCAGGAGATCACAGACAATGTCAATGGTGTGATCTTCACTATTTCTTACAATGGCTTCTTCATGTCCTGGTCTCTGTTAAAGAAAAACAGCAATCATATTGACATTGTAAATGTAAGTAACAGAAAATAGATTAAAAGAAAACACAAAAAAGAAATAAAAGATCATACTTGCGAAATGTTGATATTTCCAATATGCAGTACAGCAGATAAAATGCTAAAAATTCTGTTGGGAAACAAAAATAAGGGAAAGAAAATTTTAAAAAGGTAAGCAGTATATAGAAATACCAATACTACTAACTTAGAAAACACATAATGTAGGGTTTTAATACCTTGGAAATGATCCTACATCATTTCCACTGACATGAGAAATTCCCTGATTCTAGCTAGTAGACTACTAAATAAAATAAATTCACCTCTTTTGCACATCAGCTGTAAAGCCCACCATTTCCATAGATTTTTTGAGTCTTAGAAATTCATAGGCTTCGTCGATCCCTTCTAGGGAGTAGCATTCATTCTGCTAATTGAAATAGAGTAGTATTGGCTGTCTATTAACCAAAATGATATTATATTAGAATGAGAGCATTATATCAAACAAAACTAACACCATATATTAAAATGGAGTGATATTATATTCACCTTAGGTGACATTCAATTAGGAGTGATTTGTGGATATTTTTCATCAATTAACAACAAATTGACCTTGGTTAAGATTTGAGTGAGTGAGACTAAATTTAGTTCAGTCCAAGTGATATTATAACCACATTTCCTCGACTGTTGTTTACACTAAGTAGGAGTAGACTAAGTGATGTGCTTTACAGCTTAAGCTAACAGTTTATTCAAAAGAAAGCATACTTCATTCTATCATAGCAGTCATCAATAACATGTCAACCTTTATAATTTCATTAACTCTTTACACCCTAAGATCACTATGCATGCATGAAAGCAATCCTTGCAGTAACGAACACTACTTAATATGTGGTAGTGGAGGTAAGGCCATGACCTCTGTGATACTGGTGCAGTGCTCTACCAACTGAGCTAACAAACAAACAAACTGGGAGCTGATCATTATGTTGGTTTGTATTAAACTCATCAAAGTGATAAGTCAATGAATTTGACTATATGAAAATCATGTGTACTGTGGTTTCATGAAATAGATGAAAGTGATCCTCGCAGTAATAAACCCTACTTATTTCATATTACCTTGTTTGGCTGTATTTCCACTACTTCATATTAAGTATGGTTTATTACTACAAGGATCACTCTCATCTATTTCATGAAACTACACACATACATAATTTCATAATTTCAAATCCACTGATTTATCACTATACATATATTCTCTATTCCTAACGTACTGACAGGAGAAATTGTTCAATAATCAAGAGCTCCTTGAGTTGGTAATCATTCGTTTATTCTCCTGACCTCAATGTGTGATTCAGGGGTGATATTGTAAGGAGAAATTAGATGTTAGTCACTCTTTGGGGTCAAATCGTTGAATAGTACTGAGAATAAATGACCAGGGATTTTAAAAACCATTGGGTAGAAGGCAAAAATGACTGCTGTTCAAAGTGTTGATGTTGTCTAAATCATTGTTATCAAGAGAATGTTTGCCAGTGAAGTGAAAAGTACGCATAAAGATAACAACAGAATATTGTTTAGACTTGTGTGTTCAGAGCCCACTGAAATGATCACTTGGACTGGATAGGTTTGTATGCTAAATAATGGTCAACTGCCATTTTTTTATATTTCATGACAATACATGTAACATCCTGTACTCAATAGAACCAAATATAATGAAACATCTTCAATTAAATACTGCCAGGTTTTCACAGATAATAATTGTTTCTCTTATCCATAAACTTGTTTCATATGCTTTTCAAGTGATACCTGAAGGCTACCTTGTTGCACAG